ATGTTCCTAATGCCGACAAAAGTCTTCTTTCTGTCCATAGAATTGCTCTTCACAATCATGTCTTCCTTGAATTTCACCCCTATTTCTTTTTGATCAAGGATCAGGCGACGAAGAACATTCTCTATCAAGGTTGATGCATTCGTGGGCTCTACCCGTTGATTCCGGAGCTTAGGAGACTAAATAAACAAGCTTGTGGTGCTATCAAGCTTTCATCCACACGATGGCATGATCATTTAGGACATGCTTCCTTTTCCTTAGTTGAAAAATTAATTATAAAGAATAAGCTCCCATTTGTTGGTGAGCGCAATATTGAAACTATTTGTGATTCCTATCAATGAGCTAAGAGTCATCAGCTACCCTATCCTATATCCACTAGTGTGTCTACCAAACCACTGCAATTAATTTTTTCAGATGTTTGGGGTCCTGCCCCCAACTCAGTTGGTAGACATACGTACTATGTGAGTTTCATTGATGACTATAGTAAATTTTCTTGGATTTATCTACTTAAGAAAAGATCTGATGTCTTTCAAGTCTTTAAAAATTTCCAAGCACTCGTTGAACGCAAGTTTGACAACAAGATACTTGTTGTCCAATCAGACTGGGGCGGAGAATATGAGAAATTAAACTCTTTCTTTCAAACTCTTGGCATCTCTCATCTTGTGTCGTGCCCCCACGCTCACCAACAAAACGGCTCAGCAGAACGCAAGCACAGGCACATCGTTGAGGTTGGCTTAGCTCTCTTAGCTGGCGCCTCCATGCCTCTCAAATTCTGGGATGAAGCTTTTCTCACTGTCGTTCACATCATCAACATGCTTCCCAGTCGTGTTATTAATAACGAAACTCCAGTAGAACGGCTCCTCCACACCAAACCTGATTACACGTCTCTTCGCGTTTTTAGGTGTGCATGTTGGCCCAAACTTCGTCCATATAATCAACGCAAACTCATGTTTCGGTCAAAACAGTGTGTGTTTCTTGGATATAGTGTTCAACATAAAGGTGTAAAATGCCTTGATGTGTCTACGAGACGAGTCTATATCTCCCGTGACGTTATTTTTGACGAAACAAAATTCCCATTTGCTGATCTTCATCCCAACGCAGGTGCCTTGCTTCGCAAAGAAATCCTCCTCTTGCCCTCTCATCTCACCGGCCTTGATCATGGGGGAAACACTTGTGATGATTCAATGCTAACTAACCCTCCTAATGGTACAGAGGAGCTTTCTGGTGATGTTGCAGGAACAACCAGCGACAAAAATGACGAAGACCTTGGCCTTCAGGCGCCATATTTGCTGTGTCAGGAATCGGGGAGCAAATCCTCCTTGGGATCGGCACCAGATCAGGTGCAGCTCAGGAAATCCGCGTTGGGATCAGCGCCAGCAGACGCACCAGATCTGCCTGCAGCGGAATCTGCCGCGCGTGCGGGTTCCCATGGCCCCACACCTGCCACGCGCCAGCCTGTGGGTGGCGGCAACCCCGCGCCAACTCCGTGCCAATCACCAGACGCCATGTGGCGGCGTCCTAATGGCCCAGGCGGTGCATGTTTTCCCGACCAACCACAGTGCTACAAGAGGCGGCCCCAGGTGCGGCCAACCGGCACGGACTCCAGCGCTGACCCACCCAGCCAGGAGGGTGCGGGATCCGGTGCAGATCCGTGTGGCCTCGTGCAATCACGGGCTCATGATGAGCCGACCGGTGTGCCTGGATCTTCTACGGCTGCTGCAACCTCTCCATCAACTACTGAAGCCACAGAGGATCCGGTGTGGGTGGCGGGCGAATCTGTCTCGGGATCACCTGCGTCAGGAACTCCTGTGCGCGACTCCGGATCTTCTGCGCCGGCTAACTCTGCAGCACAGTCTCAGCGGCTCACACGGTTGCAAAAAGGTGTAACTCAACCTCTCAATTATAAACATATGAGCAAATATGGTCTCGTTTGTTCTACAGATGCACAAGCTGAACCAAGAACTTTGGATGAGGTATTTGGAGATGAAAAGTGGAGAAAAGCAATGATGGAAGAATATGTGGCACTGAGGAAAAATAAAACATGGCATCTAGTTCCCCCACGGCAAGGTAAAAATCTCATAGACTGCAAGTGGGTGTTCAGAGTTAAGAGAAAATCTGATGGAACTGTTGACATATACAAGGTAAGGCTTGCTGCCAAAGGTTTTAAACAGAGATATGGGATTGATTATGAGGATACATCAGTCCAGTTGTAAAAGCTGCTACTATTCGTCTTGTTTTGTCTATTGCTGTCTCTAGGGGATGGAGTCTCAGGCAGCTAGATGTACAGAATGCGTTCCTTCACGGTGTTCTGGAAAAAGAGGTGTACATGAAACAACCTCCTGGGTTTGAGAACAAGTCTACTCCCTCATTTGTGTGCAAACTTGATAAAGCACTCTATGGCTTGAAGCAAGCACCAAGAGCGTGGTACTCACGTCTTAGTCACAAGATGCAATCACTTGGTTTTGTTCCTTCCAAGTCAGATACCTCACTGTTTATTTACAATAAGCTCAACACATGCATATTTGTTCTCATATATGTTGATGATATTATTGTTACAAGTTCATCTAGTGAGGCCATTGCATCGTTGTTGAAGGATTTAAGTGCAGAATTTGCTCTCAAGGATCTTGGAGATTTGCATTTTTTTCCTTGGGATTGAAGTGAAGAAACACAAGGATGGACTTCATCTCTCTCAAGAGAAATATGCAACTGATGTGGTAAGAAAGGCAGGTCTGCAGGGTTGTAAACCATCCTTCACTCCATTGTCCAGCTCAGAAAAATTATCTCTCACAGAAGGGCAACTCTTGAATCAAGAGGACAGTACAAAGTATAGGAGTTTAGTAGGTGCACTTCAGTACTTGACTTTAACAAGGCATGATATCTCTTTGTTGTTAACAAGGTATGTCAGTTTTTGCATGCTCCTACTACTGTGCATTGGACTGTTGCAAAACGCATTGTCAGATATGTCAAACATACCTTGAGCATTGGTCTTAGTTTCAGCAAGTCATCCTCAACTCTTGTTAGTGCCTTCTCTGACTCTGATTGGGCAGGCTGTCTGGATGACAGACGCTCTACTGGTGGATTTGCAATATTTTTTGGACCAAACTTGATTTCGTGGTGTGCAAGGAAGCAGGCCACAGTGTCTCGGTCTAGCACAGAGGCAGAGTACAAGGCATTAGCGAATGCCACAGCTGAAATCATATGAGTTCAATCAATGTTAAAGGAACTTGGTATACGAAGTTATCAAGCTCCATGTCTGTGGTGTGATAATCTTGGTGCCACCAACTTGTCTGCAAATCCAGTCTTTCATGCCAGAACAAAGCACATAGAGATAGACTTTCACTTTGTCAGAGAAAGAGTTGCACGGAAACAGCTTGATATTCGGTTCATTCATTCCAGAGATCAAGTTGCAGATGGGTTTACTAAGGCCCTGCCTATGCGAAGCTTTGAAGAATTTAAGCATAATCTCAACCTGATGAAGTTGTAATTAAGGGGGAGTGTTAAACATCATTATATGTTATATGCGGCAGGAGGTATATGGTTCGGTGCATACTAGAGATAAGTCCAGGAGGTAGTTTGCATAGAGATCTTCTTGTAACCATCTTCCTTTCTTGTTTCTCAAGATGTATCTTAGATCTCTCTTATCTCTTCTTTCTTTCTTGACCGCATGTACAAGCCAATCAGCTCCCCTGCTATATATATACAACACGTCGCCCTCGACTAGGTAAGACGTTTTCTGCTCGCACACTCTTCAGCTACCAATACCATAGTCCAGGCTTGCAGTACTGAGGAAAGTGCTAAACCAGATCAGAAATATCCATCGCCGCAAGTGAGTGAGAGGTGCTTCAATTTTTAGTTACCCTTTGCAAAGGCTACCTAGTAGCTATACAAGAATCATCATCGCACCATGCGTGGTGGTTATTGACACAAATGGCTGACTGGTTCAACCAAACGCAAACCCCGAATTTCACCACATTCGTCAGCTGCTATTCCTAAGCACAAAAACAGTGGAAAAGAAGAAGAAAATTGAAATGGCATAGCCGGTTTTGGTCTTCTAAGTGCACGCCGGAGTCATTCTCCGGTGGATGCAATTATGCTTGATTTTGCCGTGAGCCCGGGAATCATAATGTTCCCAGCAGTGGTCTTCGAGTCAACGATGTCGTGTTATGGACAAACGCAGCCAAGATAAAAACATGCCAGCTCCTGATTCAGACATGCCCCCTTCCCTAAGAACACGTGCCTTGCGTGCCTTGCGTGCCGCTTCGCCAATGGAGAAAAATGGTCAAGCTTTTCCTCTCACTTTATTCCTGTTACCAATAAACACCAGGCAGTCATCAGATGCAAGGTCATAGTACAATATTATCAGATCAAGAAGCAGATGCAAAGGTTAAATAGAAACCATAACAGTTGACGGGAACCACACTGCTCTCTACCAATTTATACGCCTATTACAGCGCTGTGAGCTTGCACAATACAACCACAGGTAGTGGTCGCATGAACAGAAAAAAAAAACATTTCAAGACCTTCAGATTAGCATGCATTTCCTGTACTGACCAGATTCCCAAAAATATTTCACAATTTTAACATAGCCGGATATTCTATCCACACCTGCTAGTGATTGGTATGCCAGCAACACATGTTATGAGGTATCAGGTGGAGAAAAACACTTTGAGGTATCTGTTATAGCAGCCTACTGTGCATCTTCTGCAATCAGGTATTTGTTATAGCAGCATACTGTGTATCTTTTGCAACCTTGTATATACATTAAAAGGTGGTGTTTCTTTCAGGTTAGTAAAGTGACAAGAAGAACTGCAACAGTTAGATAAATGAATTAGTAATTGAAATCTGTATACAAAAAACTACTTGAAGTGTAGCTTGTGGTATAATTGTATTGATGCTTCGGTAAATGTCAGACGCACAATTACCAGATCTTCATACAGAGAAAGAACAAAAAAATAGAGTATTCGAGTAGGTTAGAAAAAATCATGTAACAAGTATCCATTCATTTATGAAACCACATTACCTCTCCTGAACCACGATTTTCTGACCACTTGCCGAATGTGACGCTCATGTTTCTCTAACAGTTCATCAACCTTGTGGGTTTGGGACAATAAAGGGCCTGAATATTCAGCCCTTTCTCCTCCTTGATAGTGGTCGTCCTGAAGTTTCAAATAGCATCCATTACTTCATGTTTTAATATGAAAGAAACAGAAATTATCAAATAATTCAATGCCTCACCTTCATGCTATTTTTCGATGAGAGAGCATCCCCAAGATATATTGCATTTGAAAAATTCTGAGAGTGGTAAGTGTCGCGAGAATCAAATGAATCTGGACGCTCTAACTGTGACCACTTCTTCAGAACTGCACGCTTTGCTACCTCCTGAGGCTCTCGGACCTTGGAGTTGACACATGCTACATGCACATCTCTGCTATGTTGTTCCTCCAATCCAATGTTCTCTTTAGCTTGTGGCTTGTTGTCCCAATCTACGTCAGTGAATTCGCCTCTTGAACTAGATCTGTTCCGTGATCTGGTAAAAGAACGACCTTCCGGTTTTTTGGCCCATGCAAAGCCACTGGATGACGAAACAATCAAGGGCCCAGAGAAAGGGATTTCCTCCCGTGAATCATTCTTAGCATGACGACCCCTTTCTTTAACTTGGGCCGCGGGAACCAGTTGTGTGTCTGTGAATAGCCTAGCATCACCATTAACCTTTGTATGAACCTGCACTGCACCATCCTTGGTTACCTTTGGTTTGGTTTTGGACTCCTGAAGATAGAAAGGACATAAGAGCTTCAACAAGTGGTGTCATCGTCAAACGAATAGAGCAACTGTTGATATTAGTGAATGCATCCTGTCATATAACAAGAATGAATACCTCTCTGTTTTCGATTTGCCTGTTGGCTGCACTTTGTTCTCTTGCTGCTCTGTTTAGCCTTGATGACTTCTTTGATGTTTCTGGCCCATGCCCTCTGCTACCGGCCTTTCTTCTGAAAAGTAACAAAAAGGAAATAGGGTTGTTAGTTGTTATAGATTCTGGCAGTGTTCGAATGTTTTTGTTCAACTTCCGACAAGAAAAATGCTGTAGTGCTGGATGGTCCTTTGAAACTTATGAAGCATACCCTTTAGAAGCAATAATAGAGTACTTGAATTAAGAGATAAATAAGTTTCTAACTTATTTTCTGAAACAAATGATTCCAAATTTAAACAAAGCCCACCTGTGTAACTCTTCTCGTAACTTTGCATCCATCTCCTTGTTGGGTGCATACTGAGGCAAGCTTATAGGTTCGCATGCATAAGGTTTTGTCTTGAAAAACTGTTCCAGCAAAAGAAAACACAAGATATTAAATTATTAATAAGGTGTTCTTTTAGTAGTTTGATTCAACAAGCCAGTCTAACACATTTTACAACAGATATAAATAAGATTAACTCGCAACCAGGATACCAGAAATGAAAGTACTACAGCACACAAGTTATCTGCAAAAGATTAATGCATTGTAAACAAAATGGCAGTATAACTGCATGGGAAGGAAGTCAAATGCGGACATGATACCGCTGAACAAACATCCAATCATCATTCACTTCCAGCATTGGGTATCTGCTGTCAGGAAACTGTGGATGCATGGACACCAGCACTATAAGTGATGACAAAGAATACTTTCCTCAGACTAAACCTAAGCATTTCATAGCCATGATAACGCCATTCTACATATATGGAAGATGCAAGCTATAGTCACACCAACAATAATAGCAAACATTGTTGCATGAGCAATCAGTAAAAAATCAGCATATGCGATCACAATTAGATATTCACAATGATCCAGAAATAATGTATAGCTTGAACATCTGTAATATACTAGAGCTGCTGTTTCTTAACTGTATGAGCAAAAAAATAATATCCCATATTGGCGCATAGCATACAGAGAAGGAAAACATAGGATAGAATTAGTGGTGAACTCGATGTAGCACAAACTGGCAGGTGCAATTAAAAAATTCAATGCATACTATGGTTTCCAATCGTTCATCATTATACATACAAATATGCGATATCGCATGATGGGATCTTACCTCGGATGTAAGGGCGCATGATGCAGTACCACGCTTGTATGGCTCCACCGACAGAAGAGTTTCTAGTAAACTGAATGCATGTTCCGGCACCTCTTTAAAAACATCTCGAAGGGTACTTAGATAAGGACAGTGAGGTTTAAATATTGTTGCATGAGGCAACCTTGACTTCTTCCAATAGTCATCAGCAGGGGAGCCACATAACTTAAAGATCTTATGCAATTGTTCTACCTGAAACACGAAAGAGATTTTACGCCATTGACATATAGAACACAATACCTTGAGAGTCAGCAAGCTATAATGGGGAAACATGTAATGTCTGGGATATGTTATAGAGGGCATAACTAAAGCAGAAAACTAGATGTGGTAACAGTGAAAGCTCATTGACATCACAACCACAGTTATTCATATTATAGCATTTAATAAAATCAGCAGTATGACAATATACATATTAATTTCCCACCATATTACTGACGTGAATTAGTCAAAAAGCCTACACATTACTTTTTTATGTTAGTATTTAATCACTCAATACTCAGCATGACCATGTTCCTCGAATAATGCTTTTACAGAGCCCCAAAGAGCCCACACCTGGTAAACTAGACAATTCATACATACAAGTATAGTTGACTAAGGAACCTCAGATAGCAACCTGTGCTTACGACTAAGGACGATATAAACAATGAGATGTACTGGTTAGTTAAAGCAAACTAAATTACCTCGGTTCTTCCCTGTAAGATAGGTCTTCCACGTAACAACTCAGCAAATACACACCCAACACTCCACAAATCAACAGCTGAATCATAGTGAGTTGACCCTAGCAATAGTTCAGGCGGTCGGTACCACAGTGTAACAACCCGGCTGGTCAGAGGATGGTTTTTACTTGGGTCGAAGTAATTAGCCAGACCAAAATCAGCTATTTTTAGAACTCCTTCGTTATTCACAAGGAGATTGGCACCCTTGATGTCACGGTGAACAATGCGGCGTGAATGACAATGCTCAAGTCCTGACAGTAACTGGTTCATGTAGCACTTAACCTGCAATAAGAATCAAGCAAAAAAATGCCAGGTCAACACAGTGTAATGTCAAAGTTGTACGGAAGGAGGGATACAAATACACTTCCTTCAAAATGGACAAACCTGTGCTTCAGTGAACTTGATGTCAGGGGAGGAACAAAGACCAGCAAGATCGTGCTCCATGTATTCAAACACTAGATAAAGGCTGCATGATAACCTAGAAGTAATCAAGCCTTCCAGCTTCATGACATTTGGATGATCAAGCCTTCTCAACATCTGTATCTCCCTTGCCATGAATCTAACACTCTCTGGCTCAAAATTGTCAAATCGCACCTTCTTCAGTGCGACAATCTTTCCAGTGTCGAGATCGCGCGCCCTAAATACACTGCTGTATGTGCCTTGCCCAACCTGGACAGATGTGTGTAATTGGAGAAATAAAGCGCATGTTAGAAACTGTACATCACAACAACAACAACAAAAACACAAAAGGACAATTTTATCATGTAACCTACAGCTTCAACCTACTTGCTGCAAATATACACCAGTACTACCAAATTAGCAGTCAGTGACTGCCATGTTACCAGCTTGACAATGACAGCATAGACTAATTGGTAGGAGGTGAATTTCCCACCAGCAAAGCATAACAACAACAGAGACAACTAAAACTTGTCATAGCTGACAGTAGGAGACACCAAATTCCCCATGTTACCTCCCTTCTGATCATTATTACCACAACACAATCCTAGTAGTAGTTTATTCTTCATGTCTTAATACATCACCCAGCAAAGCAGTACGGTACTATACCTATACTAACTGTAACACATAATATAAGATTCCATAAAGATGCCTACCAATCCAGACAAATAGCAAATCCAATAACCGTTTTCTTTCCAAGAATTCCCATGCATGAAAAAAAATTGCAATGGAAAATGACATATTAAACTGAATCTGGCAGGAGAGCTGAAGCGAAAGCGGCACAGTACCTTCTCAAGCTTCTCAAAGGAGTCGGCTTTGAGAGGGATCCAGCCTTGGATGGCCTCCCCGGCAACGGCGCTGAGCCACGACGGCCACCCGGCGGCCACCTGCTCCCCCTCAAGGCTCCTCCGGAGGTTCCGCAGCCGGAAGCTCCGCGACGCGGCCGCCACGGCGACGACAGCCTTTCCCGTCTCCTCCGCGTCGTCCTTCTTCTCCACCAACCTCGCCGCCGCGGCTGCAGCAGCCGAGCTGCGCAGGGAGGAGGCGGAGACGGCAGCGGGCTCCAGCGCGCGGTCACGGAACACGCCGGACGAGTCGACTGCCGGAGTGATAGAGACGACGGCCTTCTTGGACGCGACGCAGCCCATCTCGGCGGCGCACTAGCAGGGTACCAGAAAACACGTCAAACCATGCACGGCGAGCTCCTCCCTCCCTCCGCTGTGAAGCTCCTCACTGCCGCATTGGATGGATAGAGGGGAACAGGAAGAATCAAGAGGAAACCGACCGAGCCCTTGCCGAAAGGCGTGGTGGTCACGGGGCAAGCACGGCAGGGGTGAAGAACAAGTCCGGATTGACCTGGGGAGTAATAAATGGCGCTCGCCACCAGCAAACAGAAAGGAGACGAGACCCTGACGTCGCCCACCAGCTCCGCCGATTGGGACAGATCGAGAAAGCGGCCAGCCGCGGAACCGTGATCGGCAGGGAAGGAGGGAGGGTTTTGGGCGGCAGAGCACGGGACAGCCGTTGCCGCGAGGGGGAAAAGAAAGAAGAAAAGAGCTACGGCGACCTTTTCCGCGAACTCAGTGGGCGGGCGGGCGACGGATCAAGAAACCGCCGGAACAACCGATTGTCAGAGCAGCGCGGCAGCCAGAACCGCGGCACAGCCGGCAACCTTCCGCCGCCGCGTCGCCGGAATCGCAAGGAGATCAAGAAACGCCACGGGATTTATTTGGGGTGAGGGTGCAGAGGAAAGGAAAGCTCCCCGGGATGAGTGGCGCGGAGGACGGAGTAGTGGGGGCGGGTTCGCAGGTGGGAACGGGGGCTTTAAATGGTCCTTCCAACGCGAGGATGGACCGACGTGGTGGACTGGTGGTAGACGACGGCGCTTTTCTCCTCTGCTTTCTCGGGCCCGTGGTCGTCGCCTTGCCTTTCCCCCTCTGCTCTCTGCGTGCCCCCGCCGCCCTTCTTCTTGTAGTACCGGCGAGATTAGCGGAGCTAGACAGGGGCAGCATGAGCAACAACTGCATATTTTACGTCTTCAACCTTTGGGTCATGACAGCATTGGGTTTGGAACGACGGCCCCGCCGTACCGTACGTGCCGGTGCGGTGCGCCGTGAGTGCCGAGCACGCCTGCGCGTCACGTTCGGTGGCGACCGGCCCGACCCGACACGGGCTGGTCCCTGGTTGCACTGCATGTACGCAAACTCTGCAACAACTAGGGTTCCCAGCTTCTACTAAAAGGCTTCCATTATTTCTCGGTAGCAACCTTAAAAATGGAGGCAAAAGCACTAGAGACCCACATACTTGCATTGTATGTGATGATTTAGTCCACAAACTTGTAAAAGATGACCAATCCATCCCTAAACTTGCACTGCTTGGGATGATTTAGTCCACAACCAATCAAGAGCGGACAAATGGCGCCTCGCTGGCCTCTGCGTGGCCGCTGACCTTGGCGATTTTGCAAAATCGCCCTTGACCTTTAGGGAAATCATAAGCGCGTACATAAGAGAAGCGTGATGAGGCACACCACTCGAGCACGCACACACGCATGCATCACTCCTGAGAGCAACGACGACCGTGCCACGCGTGCGCGAGCACATGGGAGAGCATATGAGAAATCATAAGTGCGTACACAAGCAGGCCGCGGCAGAGCGGGCCGCCGGCACCGCATGACGCGAGGCGGCGGCCGCGATGACGGCGTCCATGGTTCACCGTCGGTCGACCATCGATATCCTCGGCGCGGTGGCGCGAACTCCCGTGGCTGCTAGCTAGTTGTAGGTTGACGGGGAGCGTGTGCAGCTGCGCATGTACCATGGATCGATCTTTCTTAGCTAGATCGCTATATAGGTGGCTGAAACACGAACTGATCTTTTTTTTTCTCAAATATGCACGAGTGTGCATATTATATATTATAGAAGAAAGGCAAAGAGTGCCTCCACCATAGTTTCAAGGTTCATATTACAACACTCCTAATCCTCACTACTAGCCCACCGTTCAAGCCGAAGGAAGAAGGGGTCCATGTCTCTCTTAAACTTGCCGGCAATAGACCACATTCTTCCTTCCGACCTTACTCTACCTAGTAAAACACCTAACGAAGGTGATGCACCATCAAACACAATAGCATTGCGATGCTTCCACAACTCCCACAAAGTCAGCAAGAAAACCGTGTGAAGATCCTTCTTGTGCCAGCCGTTAGTCCCATGCTTCTCCGCAAGCCAGATGGCTAAGGAATCGTGTGCAGTCGGAGTCCAGTCCAGCATGCCCAGCGCCTCACATACTGCAGCCCACGCTGACCTGGCAAAGACGCACGTCAGTAGCACATGATCAATCGTTTCGTCCTCCTGGTCGCATAAGGGGCATGCATCCTGGTGTGGGAGGCCTCTCCTCGCCAGTCTGTCAGAGGTCCAACACCTATTTCTTAAGGCAATCCAAGCAAAAAACTTGCAGGTAGCTGGGGCGTGAGACTTCCAGGTCAGCTCTGCCATAGGCTCAACCGTCCGTCCCCAAAATTTTGCCGCGTAGGCCGAGCGCACCGAGAAACGGCCGTTGGTCTCCCATGACCAACTGACCAAGTCCGGCCCATCCGCCTGCTGCTCCCACGTGCTTACTTTGATCCAAAGCTGTAAGTACTCCTGCAATGCTCCCTCACCAATATTCGGGCCAACCTCCGATGCCCAAGACCCATTTTGCACAGCCTGGGCGACTGATCTCGTCAATCTGGTCCGCCTTGGGATCATACCATATATTGTTGGAGCAATCTCTTGTATCCGCATACCATCTAGCCAACGATCCTCCCAAAAAAGTGTATGGAGACCACAGTTTGCTTCACTCCTCATAGCCGCCTGGACAAGTAACTTAGCTTCTTTGGGGATCTTGATCTTGAACTCGCTCCAAGGTCTACTCGTGTCCACTCTTGTGAGCCATGCACACCTGGCTTGCATGGCCACATTCAGCCATCTAAGGTTAGGTATCCCTAAGCCACCAGCCCACTTCGGCGCACACACCGAATCCCAAGCAACCGCACAGTTCCCTCCGTTAGCTTCCGCTCTTCTGCACCATAGGAAGCCTCTACACACTTTGTTCATTGCTGCAATCGTCTTCTTTGGTAAGTCGAGCGCCATCATGGCGTGGATGGGCATGGCACAGAGCACAGACTTCACCAATGTAAGCCGCCCACTCTTCGGCATTAGAGCCGCTTTCCACTTAGGCAGACAATTTGCCATCTGATCAACTAGAAACTGCATTTGTGCCGCGGACTGCTTCCTCAAGGTCAGCGGCAGCCCAAGGTACTTAATTGGAAAAGCCCCTCTCGGGCATCCCAGCCGATGACACACCGTACCTGCCTCCTGATCATTGCATCTTATCGGTAGGGCCACCGATTTGCCCATGTTTATCCTCAAGCCCGAAGCCTCTCCAAACATTTCCAGAATGTTCTTGCATATGTCTAGCTCCGTGGGCTTGGGCTTGATGAACACCACCACATCATCAGCAAATATAGACAAGCGCTGCCTCATACCTGTATGTGCCAAGGGCTCCAACACACCACTAGTCGTGGCCCTCTGAAACAACCTCTGCAACGGTTCCATAGTAAGAATGATTAGCATCGGCGATATCGGATCCCCTTGTCGCAGCCCCTTGCAGTTATAGATGGTGTCGCCGGGGTCTCCATTTACCATGACTTTGGTGGTGGATGTTGAAAGGATTCCACAGATCCAGGATCTCCACAGAGGGCCAAACCCCATTTGTTGCATCACCTCAAGCAAGAACGGCCACTGCACCGAATCGAAGGCCTTCGAAATATCTAACTTTAGAAGCACCGAGGGCATCCTCAGGGCATTCAGCCTTCGGGCCATACTTTGAACCAACATGAAGTTGTCATGCAGCGATCGACCTTTCACAAAAGCGCTCTGGTGGTTTCCAACCAACTGCGGAAGGTGCACCACCAAGCGACAAGCAAGCACCTTCTCAAAAAATTTGATAGCCCCATGCACGAGGTTGATCGGCCTGAAGTCACCCACGTCCAAAGCACCATCCATCTTAGGCAATAATGTCACCAAAGATTTGTTGATAGCCGCCAATCCCCTCATGTCTCCATTGTAGAAGCAATCCATGGCCTTCATGAAATCTACCTTAAAATGTTCCAACACTTTGCATAGAACCGGCCCGTGAACCCATCCGGCCCTGGCGCCCTATCCGGGGGCATATCCTTAATCACGTTTTCCACTTCCTCCATAGTGAAAGCCACCTCCAACTGTGATAGGTCCAGATGCGGCAGGTCTAGCCCCTGTAGGTTTAGTGTGTAACTCCGCGGCTCCACGGTGCCGAAAGCCCTGCCTTAGTACGCATCCATCGCGGACGCCACCTCTTCCTGCCCTGAGTGAATAGCCCCATTGTATTTCACCGATTTGAGTACATTCTTCCGCTGCCTGTGACTAGCTTGTTGATGGAAAAGCCTCGTGCTCCCATCCCCTTCTCGGAGCTGCAGTAGCCTGGAGCGTTGTCTTGCGATAGTTCTCTCCGGTGAGCATAGCCCTAACAGCTTCCTCTTTAAGCGTCGCCTCAAATCCCTCTCTGCGTCTGCTAGCTGTCTTGATTCCATGGCAACGTCTAGCTGCTTTATCACCTCCAATGCAATGGATATCTGTAACTTTACATTACCAATCCAACGGTTGCTCCACTTCTGAAGACTAACCGCCGTGGCCCTCAGCTTGTTCTGGAGCGTAAGATAGTCGTTCGAGGCCACAGGGGTGGAGTCCCAAGCCGCCTGTACTGTTTCCATGAGTCCCTCCGCCTTGACCCAGAACGCCTCAAACTTGAACCTTTTCCTCGTCATAATCTCCAAGTTCATATCGAGAAGCAGTGGGCAGTGATCCGATACTGCCGTACCCAGCGCAGAAAGGAAACATGATGGGAATGCTTCATCCCATTCATTGGAGACAAAGACATGATCGATTTTCTCTAGTGTTGCGTTCTGCCTCTCGTTGGACCAAGTGTATCGTCGCCCATTCAGGTATAACTCCTTCAGTTCTAGCATGTTCAGCTTAGATCTGAACCGCCTTAACATCCTCCGATTAATCAAATCATTGTTCTTGTCCTCCTGCCCAGCTATGAGATTAAAGTCTCCAGCAACTAGCCAAGGCCCCGCGTG